GTAGTAGTAGTAGTAGAAGAAGAAGAAGAAGAAGACGAAGAAGAAGAAGAAGAAGAATAAGAAGCATAATAATAATAATAAGAAGAAGAAGAAGAAGACTAAGAAGAAGAATAATAATAATAATAAGACGAATAATAATAATAAGAAGAAGAAGAAGAAGACGAATAAGAAGAAGAAGACGAAGCCGAAGAAGAAGAATAATAAGAAGAATAATAATACGAAGAAGAAGAAGGCGAATAATAATAATAATAATAATAAGAAGAAGAATAATAAGACGAAGACAAATAATAATAATAATAATAAGAATAATAATAAGAATAAGAATAATAATAATAATAATAAGAAGAATAAGAATACTAAGAATAATACGAAGAATAATAATAATAAGAAGAAGACGAATAAGAATAATACGAAGAAGAATAATAAGAAGACGAATAAGATTAATAATAAGAAGAATAATAAGAATACGAATAATATTCATAAGAAGAATAAGAAGAAGAAGAAGAAGAAGGATAATAATAAGTAGGAGGAGGAGGAGGAGGAGGACGAGGAGGAGGAGGTGAAGGAGGTGGCGGAGGAGGAGGAGGAGGAGTCTGAGGAGGAGGAGGAGGAGGAGGAGGAGGAGGGGAGCTGGAGGTGGAGGAGGGGGGGAGGGGGCGGGGGAGGAGGAGGGAAGAGGAGGAGGGAGGGGGGGGGGGGGGGGCAGGAGGAGGAGGAGGAGGAGGAGGGAGGAGGAGGAGGAGGAGGAGGAGGAGGATGGAGGAGAGGAGGGAAGAGAGGAGGAGGAGGAGGAGGGGAGAGGAGGAGGAGAGGGAGGAGGAGGAAGAGGAAGAGGAGGAGGAGGAGGAGGCGGAGGAGGAGGAGGAGGAGAGGAGGAGGAGGAGGAGGAGGGGAGGTGGAGGAGGAGGAGGAGGAGGAGGCGGAGGAGGAGGAGGAGGAGAGGAGGAGGAGGAGGAGGAGTTGGAGGAAAAGGAGGAAAGGAGGGGAGTGAGGAGGAGGAGGAGGCGTAGGTAGGAGGATGAGGAGGAGGAGGAGGAGGCGAGGAGGTGCGGAGGTTGGGAGGCGATCGGTGGAGGAGGTGATATGGTGAGGAGGTGGGATGGTGTGAGAGAGGAGAGGAGGAGGAGCAGGAGGTAAGAGGAGGAGGAGGAGGAGGAGGAGGAGGAGGAGGAGAAGGAGGACGGAGGTGAGGAGTTGCGGAGGTGAGGAGGATGAGGATGGGAGGCGGAGGAGGAGGAGGAGGAAGGAGAGGAGAGGTGAAGTGAGGAGGAGGAGGAGGAGAGGAGGAGAAGAGGAGGAGGAGGCGGTGGAGAGGAGGAGGAGGAGAGGAGGAGGAGGAGGAGGAGGAGCAGAGGAGGAGGAGGAGGAAGAGGTGGAGGAGGAGGAGGAGGAGGAGGAGGAGGAGGAGGAGGAGAGGTGGAAGCGGGTGGCCCTGTATCGAAGACGCCTGCGGCGAATTACCGCCGCCCTCTGCCTTTCGGAATCGCCCACGTGGCCGAACGTTGTGGCCAGAGCTCTGACAAGTTGTCGGACAATGTGATCCCCCAGCCGTTGTGGAAGCCCTTCGGGGAACATGCGGGGGAGCAATATTGAGAAGAGAAGGAGAGTGAGGAAAACTAGAGAGGGGACATCGCCGATGCATCGGCGATTCGGCTCGACCCAGGGCCCGATCTCATTCCATCCCGACGCCACGGATGCGTCGCCGATGCATCGGCGATGCAGTTCGATCCTTCGACCCCGTCTGCTCTGGCCCTGATGCTCTGGGGCGTTCTCGGTCCTTCGGGGCCCTCCCTCGGGCCCCGGGCGTGCGGGCTGACTCACTGAGGTGGAGGAGGGAGAAGAAGGAGGAGGAGGACGAGGAGGAGGAGGGAGGAGGAGGAGGAGGAGGAGGAGGAGGAGGAGGAGGGAGGGAGGGAGGGAAGGAGGGAGGGAGGGAGGGAGGGAGGGCGGAGGAGGAGGAGGAGGAGGGGAGGAGGAGGAGGAGGAGGAGGAGGAGGAGGAGGAGGAGGAGGAGGAGGAGGAGGAGGTGAAGGGCGGAGGGGGGAGTTTGAGTCCGGGGGCCCAGGAAGGCACCCCCCTCTTCGCGCCGTTCGCGGCCCCCTATGGGGCCCTCTGTGCCTCGTGGGGGGCGCTCGCGGGCCATGCGTGGGCCTCTCCGGAAAGAGGCGGGGTCCGCGCTGGGCCAGGGGCACCTGGCAGCTGCCGCGGGGGGGGGGCGATGGCAACAATGCCGAGGCGTGACGGCGTGGCGGCGTCAGCAGCAATTTCGTGGCGGCAACAATTGCAGCAGCAATTGCGCGGCGTCAGCAGCAGTAATTGCGGCGTGCCGATGGCAGCAATTGCGTGGCGGCGTCAGCAGCAAGGGCGGGGTGATGGACGGAGGACGGGGGAGCGGGCGATGTGTTCGGGAGGCCCGCCACCCAGCCGCACTCGACGCAGCATCCCTCTCTCTCTTCCCTCCTCTCTTCTTGCTCCCGCTTCCCACCTCCCTTTCCCCTCCTCCCTCTTCGTCCCCGCCTTCCCCCTGCCCCTCCTCCCCCCCTCCCTCCCCCCGCGAGGTGTTCAACTGCTACGGCGAGCACGGGAACGCCAAGCTCCTGATGGACTACGGCTTCTGCTGCGAGGGCAACCCGCACGACAGCCTCGTCCTTCGCCCGGCGGACCTCGTCCGCGCGGCCGCCGCCGCGCAGGGCGAGCCCCCCGCCAAGATCCGCGCGCGCCTGCGCGACGTGCTCCGCCCCTGGCGCTTCGTGTCCGCGGCGGCTGCCAGGCTCGGAGGGCACCGAGAGGACACCTGCACCGATCATGGCCGGGCCGATCCTGTGTACAGGATGACGACGCTCCAACTAAGTCGGGCCTGCCCCTCTACCGGAGGGGTATTCAAAAATAGTCAAGCAATTATAAGAGGGCTTCTTGTTTTTTTTGGTTCACCGACTATTTTGGAGTACTTTTTGACTATTTCAGATTTTTCCCAGTGGCTCCAGCCTCGCCTCCCCACTCCCCCGCTCCCCCCTCCACCAAGGCAGCATAGGTGATAATCTTTGCTGCTGTTCGAGCGTCGCAGTCAGGAGTAGCTCACACGTTGTCTCACCGCGTCCCAGTCCAATCCAAGCACCCAGGATGGGCCTGGACAAGATCGGTGCAGGTATATAGTTGGCGCCCTCTCGCCAGGCGGGAGGCCTGCGGCGACGCCGCCGACGCGGAGGACGAGGACGAGGACGAGGGCGAGCTCTGCGTAAGAGTGACCCGCCGTCAGAGTAATCCTTTGTGCGTCCCCTGGGGGTCTCCCCAGCATAGGCCTGCGCGCCTGCATCTGGCCCCCCACCGCGGCCCTCAGAAAAGGTTGGGCCAGCGTGCAAAATCCTCGCAGCCGCTCCCACGACGCGGCTCTCCTGCTCGTCCGTACACGTCCAACGGAACAGAGGGCTCCCCTGGAAAGCTGCCCGCTTTACCAGAGCCGCGCACCGACTGCCGCTCTTGCCCTGGGCCACTCCAGCGTGCAGCCGAGGATCGGCGTCACCCCAACATACTAATACTGGTTATGCGTCGCCTTCGAAGGGGCGATGCGCGCACCGAGAAGTCTTCTAGTCTGTGCTTGGAGGTGGGCTGAGCGCTTTCTGGCCGTACCAATCGGGAAGCGATACACATATATAATATACCTATATATATATATATATATATATATAGGTATACATGTTATATATATATATACCTATATTTTGTATATGTATGTATTTATGTGGGTGTGTATATATATACTACAACGCTGTTGCACTATATGCCCGGGGCGGACGCACGCCGCCGAGGAGGACACGCAGCACCCTTGATTACGTCCTCCTGCGCCCCAGGAGGAGGACGAGGGCGCGCTCCGCGGCTTCCGCGTCGGCGCCTCCGGCGCGCTGCCCGCGCCGCTCGGCCGCGTGGCCGCGGCGGCCGCGGGCGCGCCCGCGCCGCCGCGCGCGGCCGGCGGGCCGCGCCGCTGGCGCCGGCCGCGCGGGCCGTGGTGCTGCGCGCCGTGGCCGAGCGGCGGCGGGCCCTCGGGCGCGCGGCGCGGGCCGCGGCGGCCCGGCGGCCCGCCGGCGGGGTGCGCGCCGGGCGGGCCGCGCTGGCCGCCGTCGTGCGCGAGGGGGAGCTGCAGAGCCGCGGCGCTCCGCGGGCCACGCCGCGCCCCCCGCAGAGCTCTTTGCCGAGAGCCCGGAATGGCGGGCCTGTTTTCCACCACCACCACCAGAAGTAGGAGGGGGAGGGGTCCTCCTCCTCCTCCTCCTCCTTCTTCTCCTCTTCCTCCTCCTCCTCCTTTCCTCCTCCTCATGCTCCACCTCATTCCCCCGTCCAACTTATGGTGGTGGTGGTGGTGGAAAACAGGCCCATCATGGAAGCCGTGCACGGGCCCCCCCTCCCTCCCCCCCGGAGGCGGGAGAATTATTGTACTGTTCGGTGGCAACTCCTGGGAGCCTCGTGCGACCTCGAAGTTCTATTTTGGGAGTGCAGTCGCGTGCTCTGGCGGCTGGTCATCGTTTAGAAAGCGCCGACCTTGCGTCTTTTTTGGGCCTCTTGGGGCAGAGGGCTCGAATTCTTGGTTCGTGTTCCCACTCTTGGGGCTGTCTTGGGGCCGTTATGGGCAGTCTTGGGCTCTTTTGCTACGCCTCGTCGGCCTCGCCGGCCGTCTTGAAGCCATCTTTGGCCGTCTCGAGGCCAAAATGGCTTGTCTTGGAACGATATTGGGCGCATCTGGCCCTCGGAAGCGCGAGTCTGCCGTATTTTGCAAGGGGTTGTGGCCTGGGGAGTATGTGTGGTGCATGATGATGGTGGCTGCGACGATGATGGTGGTGTTGTTGGCGATGGTGATGGTGATGATGGTGATGGTGATGGTGATGATGGTGATGGTGATGGTGACGGTAAGGACGATGATGACGATGATGACGATGTCGACAACGACAGCGACGGCGACGACGACGATGATGATGACGACGATGGTGATGATGGTTATGAAGATATGATGATATTGCTGAGGACGGTGATGATGAGGTTCACGACGACTGTGATGATTATGCTGCTGATGATGATGCTATGGATGGTTTTTGTGATGATGGTGATGATGTTGATGCTGACGATGATGGTGATGATCATGATCATGACGATGACGGTGATGATGATGATGATGATGATGATGATGATGATGATGATGATGATGATGATGATGATGATGATGATGATGATGAGGATAATGATAACACTCCTTTTTATCCCCATTATTTTGATATAATTTGTCCTTAAAAAAATTGCGGTTGCATCTGGGCCTCGGGAGCGCGAGCCTGTAGGGTTTTGCAAGGGATTCTGTCCTCGGGTGCAGGGGTTGTGCATGATGATGGTGGATGTGACGATGAGGGTGGTGTGGATGAAGGTGGTGGTGATGGTGATGATGATGATGACGATGATGATGATGATGGTGGATGTGACGATGAGGGTGATGGTGGTGGTGATGGTGATGGTGATGGTGATGATGATGATGACGATGATGATGATGATGATGATGATGATGGCGATTGTGATGATGATGATGATGATGATGATGCTAATGATGATGATGATGATGATGATGATGATGATGATGATGATGATGATGATGATGATGATGATGATGATGATGATGTGTGGCGATGATGTGTGGTAATGGTTACTCGTTGATTATGATGATGATGCTGATGCTGATATTGCGGATGATGATGGCCATGATTTCGACGCTAAGGAGGATGATTAAAATCATGTTGATGCTGATGCTGATGATGATGCTGTATTTGATGACGGTGATGATGATGCTGATAATGATGATGATGATGATGATGATGATGATGATGATGATGATGGTGACTGTGATTTCTCTTATTGTTGTTATTGTTGTTATTGTTTCTATTACATCCAGAATTATACTCGTCCTTTTTACTGTTTCGATGGTGCTGGTGTTTGTGATGGTGTTGACGATGCCGACGACGTCGATGATGATGACGATGATGATGCTGATGTTGCTGATGATGGTAATGGCGTGATGAGGATGACGACTATGATGATGACGACGATGATGATGATTACGCTGATGATGATGCTAATGATGACGATGATGATGCAGATGCTGTTGATGATGCTGCTGATGATGCTGATGATGTTGATGCTGATGATGATGCTGCTGATGATGATGATGGTGATGATGACAACGACGATGCTGATGATGATCATGATGATATTGATGATGCTAGTGCTGATGATGATGTTGCTGTTGACGATGCTGCTGCTGATGATGCTGATGATGAGGATTATGATAATGCTGCTGATGATGCTGCTGATGCTGATGATGATGCTGATGCTGATGCTGATGCTGCTGCTGATGATACTGATGATACTGATGATACTGATGATACTGCTGATGTTGATGATTCGGATGATAATGATGATGATGATGATGATCATGATGATGATTATGATGATTATGATGATGATTGATACTGATGATGATGATGATGCTGCTGCTGATGATGATGATGATGCTGTGATGATGATGATGATGATGATGATGATGATGATGATGATGCTGATGCTGATGGTGATGCTGATGACGATGACGATGACGATGATGATGACGATGATGATGATGATGATGATGATGATGATGATGATGATGATGATGATGATGATGATGATGATGATGATGATGGTGATGATGATGATGATGATGATGATGATGATGATGATGATGATGATGATGATGATGCTGATGCTGAGGTGTGTGCAGATGTTATTCATTCTGATGAGTATGATGATGGTAATGGTGGTGGTGGTGACGACGACGACCACGACGACGACGACGACGGCGACGATGACAACGACGACGACGATGACGAAATCGTGCGATGACGACGCAGCTGCTGCTGATGATGGTGGTGGTCAGGGGTGAGGCGTGAGGGCTGAGGAGGAGGAGCAGGAGGAGGAGGAGGAGGAGGTGGAGGAGGAGGAGGAGGAGGAGGAGGAGGAGGAGGGTGGAGCAGGAGGATGATGAGGAGCGGAGAGGGGTGAGGAAGGAAGGGTGCGAGGAATGGGGGAGGGGCGGGGGGAGGGGGGCGCTTCGGTGGTGCCTCCGCCGACTTGCGCAGCGGACCAGCCAGGCGGCTCCCTCTCCAGGGCCTGGCCCGTACCCTGGCTCGTCCTCCTCGACCTCCTCCCGCTGCCGCAGGCCGTCGCTCTGCCTGGCACTCCTCAGGCTGGCAGGCCTCCCGGGGGGGGGCGGTCGGATCTTGCGGGCTGTGGAGCGCGGGATCTCGCCAGCGCCGCGCCAGACCGTGGCAGGGCGCTGACGTGGGCGAGCTCGCCAAGCGCAGGGCGGCGGTTCGGCAGCTGCCTCGCGCTGCCGCCGCTTCTGCCGCCGCCGCTTCTCCTCCCCTGTCCACTGCCGGCGGTGTGAACAGCCCCACCCAACGACGTGCAGCGTTGGAGGTCGTGGCGAGTGAAGATCGGCGGGCAACGTGCAGTATCGAAGCAGAGGCTGGAGAGCAGGGAGAAGCGCCAGCAAGGTGCAGGCCTCGCGACTGAGCGCAGTCCTCGTACAGCCGGAGAGACATCGCGGGACATACAGGGGAGAGCGAGCGAGAGAGAGAGAGAGAGAGAGAACGAGAGAGAGAGAGAGAGAGAGAGAGAAAGAGAGAGAGAGAGAGGAGCAGTGTGGGAGCGAGAAGAATCGGGGCAGAATCGGCGAAGGCCAAAGCCAGGGACGTGCCGGAAAGTCCCGGGCGGGCCCGCCCCTGGCTCCTGCCCCCGGCTGGCTCTGTGGAGACCGTGGGATTCCTGCAGGCATGCGGTTCGAGCGCGCGGGAGGCATGCCCGAAGGCATCCTGCATTGAAGCAATGCAGGGAAAGGCCAGGAGATCCAGGGCAGGGGGACCCCCCCGTCCTCCCGCCCCCTCCCCCCTTGAGCAGCAGCTGCAGCAGAAGCCACCCGAGGGACGCCCCGAGGCCAATGCTCGGGACCCCTGGAGTCGTGGTCGGGGTTCGCGTCTCGTCGCCGCCACCGCCGTCGTCGTCGTCGTCGCTGCTGCTGCCGCCGCGGTCGCCGCCGCCGTTGCCGCCGCCGCCGCCGCCGCCGCCGCCGCCGTCGTCGTCGTCGTCGTCGTCGCCGCCGCCGTCGTTGTCGTCGTCGTCGTCGTCGTCGTCGTCGTCGTCGTCGTCGTCGTCGTCGATCTCGTCGACGCGGCGGCGCCCCGCGCTCAGAGACGCCTCCCGCGCCGTGCTGCGCCGGCTCAGCGGGGCCGCCGTGCGGGCCGGCCGGCGGCGGCCCGGCGGCGGCCGGCCCTCCCCCGCCGCACCGCGGAGGGCCGCGCGGTGGCGGCAGCGGCGATGCGTCGGGGCCCCAGCGCCGGCGCCAGACTCGGGGGCGGCCAAGAGGGGGGTGATGACCAGGGGGGGGTGGATCTCATGGCGGGGGCCATGAGATCTCTCCAGATTTCATGGCGCCTCTCCTGATCTCGTTACGTCCCCGATCCCCCCCCCCTGGGCCGCGCACATGCCGCCGGCCATGATTTGCACCCCCCCCCTCTTGGACGCCCCTCCCTTGGCCGACCCCGACAGACCTCTGGCGAGCTGTCGTCGGCAACTCTTCAGAGTTCGGGGCGATCGAAATGGGTACGGCAGGTTCGCGTCGTGCCGACCAGCGGCGACCCCAGCGCGTGCGTTTAAGGTTGAACGCCGCCAGTGGCCCAGAATTGGCCCTTCGTTGAACGATCCAGCTTTCACGGAACGGCCGATCGTTCATGTTTGAACGATCTCCGCGGTGTCAGGAACCCACGCCGGGGTCGACACGACGCGAATTTGCCGTACGGAAGAAACGGGTACAAAGACCGACAGCAGTTCCTCTTCATCTTGAAGCGGACTTGCTGTCGGCGTCGCGGCGGGCCGTGTCCATTTGAGACAGAAGGCTGCCTGCCCATCAGCAGCCGTTGGTTCGGTGCAGTATTTGTTGTTGGGCACTGTGCCCATGTTCTGCATACCTATTCTCGGCGTTCAAAAGAGTGACCCTTCGGCGGAGTGGCTGTCGGTGCGCATCTTTCGGGGGGCGGGGGGGGAGCCAAGGCCACTCACGCAGGCCGCCTCTGTCGGGCCGCATGCAACGATCGGCCAGCCGCGCACCAGAGGTCACTCTTGCCTGGGGTCACTCCTGCATGTGGCCGATGTCGGGGCGCACGTAGCTCTGGGCCTCCCAGGTTGGGGCCCGAGCAGATTAGGTCGGAGGGTCGCGCCACATCGCCGATTCATGGGCGATGCAGCTCGATGTGGAGCCCGATGTTGTCCTCGCTGGTGGCGGCGATGCAGCGCCACGTCGCCGATGTATCACCGATGCATCGCCGATGCATCGGCGATGCATCGGCGATGCGGCGCGATCCTTTGACCACATCTAATTACTCGGACCCCATCCTCTGGAGGTGGCCTCGCATATTGGCTGAGCCAGATTGCTGAAGCCCCACAAGCAACTGCAGCTCGTTTTTTCCGAATTGGCTGTGTAGGGTCTGCGCTGAGCCGGGTCAATCCACGCCCGCATCTGACCTGTCTCAATCGGGGCCGCGGGTCCTCGGCGCTTTTCCTGGACTTTGCCTCTGCGGCCCGCTGTCGGGCCCAGAGGCCATCTCGAGTGGACCCGGGGAGAGAAGCTGTCCTGTGGAGGGGGTCGGGACCTCCGTGCGGGCGGGCGTTGAACACTCACGTCGTCGGCGCTCGTGCCCGCGGGCTCCGCGCCTTTGGCTCCAGGAGGGGGCCCCGCTCTCGCGGCAGGGAGCCCCTGCGTTGCACCAACAGCGCAGGCTTTGGCGGGAGGCGTCGCGAGACGGCAGGGGACACTCCTGCTGCGGTCAGATCAGGGATCGCCCCAGCCCCCGCCCACACCCCCCCTTCCCTAGACCCTCGGCGTGATTCTGATTTTTGACGTTCAAGGGGCCCAGTGGGGCCCCCCAGGGTCTTGAGATGGTCGAAAAGGTTGCGTCGTGATTTTGATTGCGAATGCCTTACGGCCTGTGCCGCCGACCGGAAGGGGGACGATGACGACGACGTCGGCGGGGGCGACGAAGAAGACGCTCACGTGGGCCAGGGATGCTTCTTGGTGTCTCTTAGGAAGGCTCTCGGGGGCCTCTGGTGAGGTATTTTAGGCCTCTTGGAAGCGTCTTGGGAGCCTCTTGGGAGCCTCTTCCAGGTTCTGGAGATGGCCGACAAGCTCGCGCCGTGGTGTGGATTTTGTCACGGTGCGAGAGGGTGTGGGTCTTTTTCCCTCCCCCCCCCGCTCTGTGGTATCTCCAGGATGGAAGGATATCCGCCCCGCCCCCTCGAACATTTGGCGTTTCATAGACAGCCCGGGGCGCTGTCGAAACAGCCCCTGCTTTGTTCGATCCTTCCCTGAGGTGCGTTGACCAAAGCTCCTCGCTTGTCAGGGTGCCGACTATGGGGGTGGTCTAGCGCAAGAGAGGAAAATCCCCCCAGCCCCCCATACCTGGCGTTTACTACGCAGCCCAACGTGTTGACGAAACAGCCCCTGCCCAGTTCGATCCTTTCCTGAGGTGCGTTTACCAAAGGGCCTCGCTTGTCGGGGTGCTGGCTTATTGGGGTGGTTATTCTGACCTCTAGCTCAAGTGAGGCAAATCCACCCCGCCCCCATAACTGGCGTTTACTAGACAGCCCTTGAACATTTGGCGTTTCATAGATAGCCCCCTCGAACATATGGCGTTTCATTGACAGCCGGGGGCGTTGACGAAACAGCCCCTGTCCAGTTCGATCCCTTCCTGAGGTGCGTTTACCAAAGGGCGTCGCCTGTCGGGGTGCTGACTCATGGGGTGATTATGCTGCCCTCTAGCTCAAGGGAGGAAAATCCACCCGGCCCCCATAACTGGCGTTTACTACACAGCCCGTGGCGTTGACGAAACAGCCTTGCCCTATTCGATCCATTCCTGAGGTGCGTTTACCAAAAATCCTCTCTAGTCGGGGTGCTGACTATGGGGGTGGTTATGCTGCCTTCTTGCTCAAGGGAGGACCCACCCCGAACCTTATAACTTGCCTTTACTAGACAGCCTGTCTTGACTTCTGGATACCCCGATTTGAAAATATCATCGGAGTCCGAGAGGTTGACACCAACCCCAATATCAGAGGTGTGCCTCCACCGAGGGAGGATGCTCCCGATCTCGGTGATGGTGGTAATCCGTAAGGGCTTCGCCTCCTGCCGCCGACCCCCTCTCTCGGAGAATGGGCCATGGAAGAGCGAAGTCATGAGGCTTTGGCTTCACCGTGAAGTAGCGTCGGAACTTCATGCGAAAACGATGGATCATGGGCAAGACGAATGGAGATTGCGAGGCTATTGTTGTACTCGCTGTTGTATTTTCATTTGCTCCCGTACGCTGTGCCCAAATCTTCTCCCCGAATTTGAAAATGTTGGAAGTCTCTTGTGTCCTGACAGCGCGGAAGTGCATGAGGGGTGCCCCAGAATTTAGAAAATGTGGCAAATCCTCTGTGTTTTTGGGCCCTGACCCTGTCGATCCGTGTGAGGAGTGCCACCGAATTTCAGAAACGTTGAGAATCCCCTGGGTTTTCGGACCCTGACCCCGCCGATCATCGAATTTCAGAAACGTGGCAAATCCTTTGTGTTTTTGCACCCTGACCCCGCCGATCTGCGTTGAGGGTTGCCACCGACTGTCACAAATGTTGCAAATCCTTTGTGTTTTTGGACCCTGACCCCGCCGATCTGCGTGAGGGGTGCCAGCAAATTTTAGAAATGTGGCAAATCCTTTGTGTTTTTGGACCCTGACCCCGGCGATCTGCGTGAGGGGTGCCAGCGAATTTCAGAAATGTAGCAAATCCTTTGTGTTTTTGGTGACCCCGCCGATCTGCGTGAGGGGTGTAAATTTAATCGCTTCGCTCATTCCGCCGGCCCATATTGTCGCACCGTTGTGGGCTAGCCGAGTTTTGGGGCCTCTTGGGGGCCGTTTTGGGGCCTCTTGGGGCCTCTTTTGGGCCTCTTGGGCGCCTCTTGGGGCGTCTTGGGGGCCTCTTGGGGGCCTCTTGGGGCCTTTTTGGGGCCTCCTGGGCGCCTTCTGGGGCGGAGGGCTCGATTTTTCAGTTCTCGGTTCCCCTCTTGAGCCCCTCTTGGGCCCGTCTTGGGGCCTCTTGGTCCGTCTTGGGCGGCACTTGGGCCGTCTTGGGGGCCCTCCTGGGCCGTTCCGGGGCCGTCTTGGGAGCCTCGTGGGCCGTCTTGGAGCGGTCTTGGGGGCCTCTTGGGCCGTCTTGGAGCGTCCGGAAGCCGAAAAAGCCAGAACGCAAAAAACATAGAAAAAAAACAATGAAAATCAACGATTTTGGCCTCTTGGGGCCCTCTTCGGAGGCCTCTTGGAAGGCCCTTGGGGCGTCTTGGAGGCCTCTTGGGCTGTCTTGGGGCCCTGTTGGGCGTCTTCGGGCGATCTTTGGCCGTCTCGGGGCCCTCTTGGACCGTCTTGGAGGCTTCTTGGGGACCTCTTGGCCCGTCCTGGGGCCCTGTAACAGGGCTCCGGCATCTCTGGCCCGACCTTGCCGGGACCTTGCCGGGGTACTTTTCGTCCGGGGACCCCCAGGGGCCGCCCCGCGCGCGCGAACTAGAAATATTGTTAACCAGGTGACCCCGCCGATCTGCGTGAGGGGTGTAAATTTTTACCCACCCCAGCAATTCAGACAACACGCTCAGGGCGTGCTAAACCTGCCCGTTTGGGCCTCCCCCCTCGCGCGGTCCATCAACAAGGAACAGTAAGCAGCAAGAAGCAGAACTGTAACAGAGGAAACTGGAAGCTGCAACTGGCACAGGAAACTGCGAACCTTCGGCCTACAGC